GAGTGTTGGGTTCGTTCAGAGCAGCATGACGGCTGAAGCTGTGGTCACCGTCCGCCTGGTGAGGTCCTTCGAGCACAGGAACTTCAAGCCGGTTGTGTTTCACGGTGTCCGCTTGGAGCAGACCGTACAGGACTTCATGCAGCTCGTCAAAGACGGTGAGAGCCGTGCGGTGTGTACTTCGTGTCAGCATCGGTTCACCTAAACAAACCTTTAAAAACGTTTGAAACACTTCATATATAAAGGTTAATTTACAACAATGAGCCCTGCTCTCAAGTACGGACGTAGAGGGAACACTGTGTAGGTGGATATAAGAAATAAGTCCTTAATGTTTTAAAAAACATGTTTGGCGCCCTCTTGTGGCAGTACAGAGCGTGACATCACAACACATTTGTGTTCTCGGTACTCTGTGTTAACTAACATAAACTAATGTGAGTCTGTTGACTGCAACAAACAAAACCAGTGAAGTCATGATTAGAATAGAACACAATAGAGTAGAATAGAATGCCTTTTATTCTCACTGTACATGTACAGTGAGATTCAGAGCTGCAGTGCAAACGTGTGGGAAAAGAAAAATATAAAATATACAGATATTGGGCAAAAATAAATGGTGTTATGTATTCACAGTGTGGGTTATTGCACATAAATTAAATATCGCACAGTCGTGATCGTAGTTTGCAGTCTGTGTGTGGGATTTGGGGGTGAAACTGTGTCTTCAGTGCATGTGTGAGTTCAGGCTCTTGGAAAGAAACTGTTCTTGAGTCTGTGGGTCTAGAACATAAAGGTGGTGCTTGATGTGCTGAAGCATTAGTCTCTCGAAGCATTTCATGAGTACGGCGTGAGGGTCACAGGGTGGGAATCGTTCAGGCTGGTGATGGGAGACTTCTTTGGCACTGGGATGATTGTGGCTGGTTTTAGACAGGATGGGGTGGCTGCATGGTCCAGGGTGAGCTGATGGGTACATGCTCTCAGCATCTTGCCAGGTACTCTGTCTGGACCAGCAGCCTTCCTGGGGTTCACTGCTAGGAACATCCTCTGTTAGGGTGAGTGGAGCGGTGCAGGAACCAGGTGAGGATGAGGATGGGAGCGTGATTTATCTCCTCTGCCAGCGGCGCACTCAGGTTTTCTGTTTTCACAGCCTCTGTAGTTTATGACGTCTCGTATGTCCTACCACACCTCCTGTGTGTTGGTGCTGGACCGGTGGGACTCTGCTTCTTTGTGGTCTGTTTTGGCTTTTTTAATTCCCCTTTTCAGATCGGCTCGAGCAGCCGTGTACAGAGCTCTGTCACCTGACCTGAAGATGGCGTCACAGACACTGGTTTTTGCTTTGGGAAAACCCGAATGCTTTTGTCCACAGTCACATTTCTGACGCAGAACTTGATATAGTCCAGTACTGATCCTGTGACCTGTAGTTTGGAGAGGGCATCTTCAGGCCAGGTTGTAACGGTCTTTGTGGTGGACCTGGCACTGCGTCTGAGGGGGGTGAAGGCCGGGGAGGTCTCGTGGTGTTCGCTGTGTCGAATCGAGCGTAGGATACGTTTAGATCCTCACACAGAGGCCGTGGTCGGCGCTTTCCCCTCTAAAGTCTGTGACTGTGTTTAGCAAACTGTTGCTCCACCCTGTGTGTCCCACATAGACACAGAAACAGCTGTGAGAAACCCCAGTGGGACAGATGGTGAGTCTTTATTAGACGAGTCTTTTAGGATTCCGACCTTGTGTGTTGTCACACATGTATAAGATAAAATCTTGATTGAATCCAACAATTTCTTTCAGATATTGCAACAAGGCCAGGATTTCCACCTCCTTTCAGGAAATATGGTTATGGTATGTATGCAGTACTTCATTTGTACAGCTGTCATTAGAGCAATGTTCTCATCCTACCCACATGCATGTTAAGATTGTTGTTGTTACATAGAACTCACATAGTTACCTGGAGTTGTAACTAAACGTCAGCAGTGATGTGTTTACACGATACAGAATGATTTAAATAAACACACAAACACCAGAACAGAAATGTAATCACTCTTTCTTTCCGCACCCAAACAAGGACGGAAGTGTTGGTGAAACATCTCACTCTGTTATCACAGATCCAGGCGCTGCACCAATCCGTTACTCTAGTGATTCACTTTTCTCTTACTTGCAAGCGAGACAGTCCGATACTTAAATTTGCTCCAAATCCAGCGTCTGAGGGCATGGTTTTCCGACTGAAAACCGTGCCCTCAGACTTGTTTCCCACTCAGCTGCTAGCCTGCTGGACTTTCTGTCCATAATAATATGACAGATGGCAGCCTGGTGGAGTCCAGAACTTCCTGGGAGAGAGTTCGACTTGTAGTGTGAACACAGTGATGTGCAGATCGATACTGAAATATCGATTCTTCCGATACCAGTAATTTATGTTCTAGAATCGATTCTGATGTTAAAATATTGATATTTTAGTACTTTGGGGTAAATTTGTAGTTTATCATTAACAGGAACACAGTGGAAAGAAACTATATCATTCGGATCGTCTACATTGGAAGGAACTACTTCCTCTTCTGCCTTTCATAGTCATGTGCGAAACACGGCTGTATCAATGTGTCGCAGCCGCTGGCGTGCACACTCACAACAATGGCTGAGCGTAAACTGAGTCACGTGTGGACGTATTTTACCTCAACAAACGGCCGAGACGCGGTTTGCGATACATGTGGCAAGAAAGTGAGGTGTTGTGGCAACAGCACTGACATCGTCAAACACCTCAGAGTAAATCATATCACAGAATAGGATGAATTATGTTGAGGCAAAGTGAAGAAGAGGAGGAGAGGGACAGGTGCTGCTAGGGCGAGACAGACGTCTCTCACTGAGTCCTTCAGTGCTGCAGGCAACGTGTTCAAATAGACACAACTTTAGTTTTTTATTTTTATATGATTATTCTGCATCATTAAGCAATAAGAACAAGTAGTCTGATGTCCTGTAATCATTATGAAGCTATATTATTATATTATTACAGTTACATAATACAATTATATATTGGATTATGAAATACAATGAACAGAGTATCGGATCAGTATCGTCGATACCGCCCTGAACTTTACTTGGTATCAGATCAGAAAGGAAATCAGTGGAGTCGCACATCACTAGTGAACACAGCTCTCACAAGTGAAGGACAGGAAACATGACTAAAGCTCATTTATTGCATTATAAAATTGTGTTGTGCAATAACGACTTTTCCCTTGTTAATAAAGTGCTCATCTGATCGATTAAGACAATAAAACGAATATATACAAAATATAATACTGGTCCCTTAAAGGTAAATACTGCCCAGTGAAAAAGCTGCACACACCGAGTGCTTCTTGTTCCTGCTGGATCTCAGGGCTGAACGGGACCCTTTTTTTTCTTCTTTTTCTCCAGTCTGTCCCGTTTGGCTCTTTTGCATCAGAATTATTGTCTAAAGGCAAAGAAAGATGCCCAACGGATTTACTTTACCAAATGGACCATCCAGCCTATTGGTCTATTTGATTCACCTTTTATTGTTTATTTTATTTTCACTTGCTACACACAGGACAGACTTGACTGGGGAAAGAAAAAGGAGAAAGAAAAACAGCGGAGAAGAGGGACGGTGATATGTCAGGATACATATCACAGGATTTTTTTTTTTTTATTGGTTCGTTTTAGAGCAGGATCAGCAGATTCAATCAAAAATCAAAGAACTGATTCTGTTAATTATGAAGCATTTTAGAAACCAAATCATGATCTGTGTGAACATCTATATGGTAAAAACTAAAACATTTTAATGGCTTCCACACAGGAAGCGATGACAGGCGACATAACGGTTGGTGAGGGAAAAGTGGGCGTATCCCGAGATGAGCTTTACTCAACTTCAATCAACTTCGGCCAATAAGAGCACAAGATACCGTTAATTGACATATCACAGTGCGGTAAATGCGTTAGAGGGTTACCTAGGCAACCGGGGTCTAGAAAGTCCACTAGCGACGAACCTTTTAGCTTCAAGGTTACGCGTGATGAGTGACATCGCTTCCTGCGTGGACCCAGCTTCAGTATTTTGATCA